GAAGTTAATTAAGCTGCGGTAATTGCGATCTCTCTTGAACGATACTCAGTTGGCTTTCCATATCGCCTTAACGCTATCAAATTGCATCATTAATTTCTCACATTATCTACAATTAGGATTAATATTCATTGTTGTACGATCTTATTTAGAAAAATACACATTTTGTCACTTTTTTTCTAAGATTAAAAGACTCCTATTATTAGAACTTAAGTTAACTATAGATTTCATTATTACAGTCCTTTGTCCATATATCTAGATTCTCAAAGATTCTTAATCCTTAAACACCTTTTTCTTTTTCCAAAATTTTATATACATATCCATTTATATAAATTGCGCGTCGAAATATTTCCAATCTTGAACGTAATCTTAAACTGAATTAGAGTAGTAATATATCACAAATTAAATTGACAGACAAGTTAATAATATATTAACAAGTACCTTAAAAGAGTACTAAATAATAAAAATAACTAATAATTTGATGTTATAATAAGCATTCACATATATTCAAGCATTAATTAAAATCTAACTTACACCAAAGGCTTTTACTTATTTATTTTATTAATAAAGATACATACATTTGCTCGGTGTCAGACGTTTTGATTGAAAAACATTGTTTACAATATGTCCATTATTATGAAAATTATAATCGAATTGAGTTGGATATGCCCAAATGTATTGTTCTCATAGAGTGGCATTAAAGGATTAAATATAAAATGACTATCATTAGACATGTAAATTATAAAAGTTAATATACAAGGAATTATAAAACTATTTCACATGTGATAATTTTATAACTTTATCAAGATTTTCTTCTATTCGAAATGAAAGAAAATTGACGCCATCGCGCGATCTTGATCTCGTCTGTCGCTATTGAGTTTTCCCGACCTTTTTTCTCTCTGACTTTCTCTTCGACTTCCGCTATTGTTCTTCGCGGCCTGCACGGCGTTGCGGCACCTTTCATCGACGCCCTTTTGTTCACTCGGCAATAACGCTACGATAACGAGTCAATCGTATCATGGAGAATCGAAAGGTGTCAGCTCGGGAATTGCATTGTTGGGAATCGAGGAATCGATCGATAGTCAGGTAAACCGCTTTCCACCATTTTCTCCTTATAATGCACGAATTGTAAACAATTTGCGTAATTTCATGTGATTAATTGCAGATGCTTCAGAACTCAACGTTCATGAATACTAAACAGAAAATTTGTATACAATGAAGTACGGTTAACAAGTTCGGTGCGAGATAGTGTCTATTATAATTCACTATGTATTTAGAATATTTAAAAAAATTTATCTTAAAAGTTGAATAATAAATATCTCCTGTTATTTTACGTTATTTCGATCGTTACTTTTATGTTATCCCTTTCTACGAATTAAAAAGAAGATTTAATTTCGGATATTAAATCCGGAGATTTCGAACTAATTTAGAATTAATACTGCAAACAGGAATTCTGTTTGAATACCCCAAACACAACATGCAACGTTTGCAAAGGAAAATATTTATTTAAATAAATACATATGAAAATGTATAGGTACAAACGCGAGCACGCGTCCGTTTTCTGCGTTTATCATCTCGTGGAGGAATATTCAGTTCACCGCAAATACGCTTTCTGTTGTCAACTGGCGAAATAGCACGAATAGTGTGAATAACGGTGATAATTTTGGTGAGAGAAATTAGTGAACGGGAAAGAGAGAGAAAATAGGGAATGAGGGGGGAGGAAGAGATATAGTTCGCAAATGGCTACCATAAAGGCGTGCTAATGGTTTAACGTTTATTCGCAAAAATACTGCATGCTTTTATCGGCATACATTTCCTTTTCCCTTTACTCGACCTTCCCTTTTCAATGTGATGCGCGCGGATCACACTTTATAAATAATTTCTGTAATAAATGCAATTTGCGGACATGCACCACTGATAATTGTTATGAGGGCACATCGCATTAATAACTATAATAATGATAATAACAATAGCAGCCACTGAGCGCAGAACTCGTAATTGTAGAGCTGTTAATAAATTAATTTCTAAAAAATAGTAACATAACTAAATAACAGTAATAAACAATATAACTTTGAAATATGTTACTTAAATGAGATACTCACACGTTAATATCAACAAATTGCTGAGAGAAAAGTAACGTTAAAAACGGGAATAAATCATTCGAGTAAAATAATGAAATATAAATGCTAAAGTCATTTCGTAAAAAAGCTATATTTATATTGTAATATATTCTTAAAATTAAATAAAAAACCGTAGATGAAAACAAATTTACAGATTATCTGAAAAAAGCAAAACAGTGTTGTTTAAAAAACATCATTAAAATAAAATGACATAGCTATTTTGTTCTTGAACATTATTTTTCATATTTATTAATTAATATCATGTACTAATAGTTCGGACTCTCATTAGTTCTTCTTACCATCGCGAAATTTAGTTATATTTTTTAATTAATTTTTCTTGCAATTATATTTTCATTTTCTTCTTACAATCACATTTTGTTTTTATATTGCTTCCGATTTATTTGTGACTTTTTATTATCTTGTATGTACGTTTGAACATATTCGAACAATTGTCGCGTGGATGTAATATTTGCTAAATTTGTCAAACAGTAAACGATTTGATAAAAATGGAACAGGAGCAAATGTCCGTACGTGATCGACGAAAAGTCGTCAGTCGACAACGAACGAATAACTGAATAAATAAAAAAGAAAGAGCAGAATGTCAAACTATAGGCATTTTAAATAACAAAGGGTTGGTGCCCGACATCCTAATTGCGGCGCCATTTTTTTTTCGATACATGCGGCCGTTTAGGACGATGTCCTTTTTATTCTGCAGCACGCGTGTTTCGGACGTGCCTCTGCTTTTCGATTTTCATGCGTGATCGATTTTCGGCCATTCCGCCAACTATTTTTCCAATGTGACGCGCTGTGACGCGTTGTGAAAACGTTGTGTGAACGTTCGGCGACGAATGCCGTTCACGCATCGCTATTCACAATCACGGCTCCAGTGAAACGATAAAAGTTTATAATTATTCTTGAACGCAATTTTCAACCATTTTACTTTTAATTGCATTACATAGAGAAGTGGATCGATGAGCAAAAGCGCGAGGTGGGCTTTCTATAATTTATGTGCAAATAAATAAAAAAATATCGTTTGCGTACAAACGTGTGTCAGCATAATTATTCAGCACGCAATTATTATGTATATAAAGTATCGTAAAACGTAAGAATCAGCGATAAAGAAAAATATTCGTTAATAGTTGACTTGTTCGCACACACAGACGAAACATCATAAATAAGAGAAGACTAAAGGCGTATTAGTAAAACATTTCCGTATTTATTTAGACAATAAAATGTACTTCCGTAGCTAAGCGTTTTTATTATTGACTAATTAACTTTCAGTATTAACACCGACGAATATAAAATGACGGCGGCAATATAGCGTTTGTTATCTCTAAAGTGTGTCTTTATCTTTTATTTGTTTTTCCTGGAAGCTTTTTCGCCGCTTAACATTGCGTTATCAGACGAAAGGATTACCTTGCAATATATATTTGGGTGTTTAAAAGCAACGATATAGATAAAATTGGTAACACTGCGGATAAAATAAGAAACCATAACAAAAATGCGGCGAAAAAAAGTCGTAAATATGTTAATGCAACGCGTTTTAAATTATGTATATTTTGTTCTCTCTCTCTCTCTCTCTCTCTCTCTCTCTCTCTCTCTCTCTCTCTCTCTCTTCTTTTCTTCTTTTTTTCGCTTAAATTAACGTCTGACATTTGAATCTAGATAAATTAGTCTCAAAATTCATTAATACCGATATTTTTAAATTCCGATATTTTTGAAATGAAACACGTTAAAAAAGTAGCGCATTTATGTATCAGCGCCATACTGACGATACGATTGAAGTAATTGGCAATCTCCCATTAGAACGCAACCATTTTATCAAATGTTTCGTAGCGGGAAGTTTCGTCGTTTCGTCCTTTTTGCCACGAGAAATCGCACGTTTAAACTGCAGCTAATGGAGCATTTATTGACCGAAACGCTCCTCGTAGGACGAATTCGATTAAAGTTCGACGCGATTCGATTACCAGGAGATTCGTTTTGCCAGCTCTCTGCTAGCATCGTGTCTGAAAATCTTCAGAACCTCCGTCGGAAAACCTCGAAAAGTCACGTGGATATATTCATGCGATCGTAGAAATGTAATTTATGACGCCTGTGGCGTGTATAAAATCGATTATTGCAAAAACGTTGAAGATTGTACACTTTTTATAAAACAGTACATTTTCTGTATAAATAGGATCGGAAAATTACAAGAGTGTTATCAAAAAACTAATATGTGTTTTTTATTTTTACTGGAATTTTAATCACAATTTTTCTACGAGAAATTAAGAGAATTTCGGATAATTAAAAAAATTATTATTATACAAAGCATGTACACTTATTTCTTCCTTTAAATTCTCATTTTATTTCAATGAAATGTGAAAAAAATTCGTATTATTTTCTTATTCACTTTTATATGTTACACAATTTAACAGATATACTTAATGAGGTACGTTGAATTACGAAATTGAAATTTGTATCATGCAAGTTAATGGTAAATGTTATTTAGTTCTCTTTTGGAGGACCCTGTAGTTCAAATTACACGCTCTGGTAATCGTCAATCGATTCGCCATTCGTGCCCAATCACCGCAATATATAGATCGCGAAATAACATTCGAATATTTCGGTCGACGCGAATTTGTAAATGTTTTTCACGCTTGCATTTCATCTTTTATATTGCGTGATCATTAGTAAACAATATTATATCAATTTAATTGTCACTTGTGCGTTTATACAAAATCATAAAGTTAAATATTTCATCCTGTGGTATTTATTGCTTTAAATAAACAATTAATATTACAATAATATGAAGTCATTCTGAATGAAAAAAATTACATAATAAATAATAATATGTTTATTGTCGATCATTTGTCTAATATAAATTGTTTTTATTATGTGTTTCAGGGACTACTACTATGACAGGTGAATGTCTCGAACTTTACTCCAATAAGCAAGTATCATAATATTAATTTAATACGTTAATGCGATGTCATGCATTGCTGTTGTAAAGATAAACTGCAATTTAAAACAGTAATTTAATACATGGTATAAATAATAAATAGTATGAGCATAAAAATCCCTGTCTAAGGCCGGGTTTTTAATTTCTGATTAACTTGTGATTAGACTTAACTTGATAATAATGTAAAAAGTATATTTTTCTAGCTGTAGTTAATCACAAATGCTTTTGTAGTAAGTAATTTTTTAAATTACTACTACAAAACCACATCCACTTAAGTGATTAATCATAGCTAGAAAAACATAATTTTTGTGTTATCATCAAGTTGTGAGGTTAAATTTAAATTATATGTTAATTTAAAAAATGAGAATAAATCTAATTAAATAAGAGAAATTTCTGTGCTACTCTCAAAGCAGATCTTAGTGTTTAAATAATTTCCGTGTGAATTTATATACATATTTGATTCTATAAACTGTGCTCCGAAATCTTTTTCGATCTTGAAACGCATTCATGGACAGAACCAGAGTAGTGATATTACTTATTAAATTGACAAGCAAAAATGATTCAAAAATGAAAATTAATAATTTAACAATTTAAAAATGAGAAACCAAGCTATTTAGAGCTTTTCAAAATACTCATACATTTCTTCCGCATTCGCCGTGTTTTTCCTACTTTCTTTTCAATTTTAATAAAAAGCTTTAGATTTTTTTCTCATTAGTAGTTATATAGGCGAAACACGTTTACGCTCCTTTGTCTCTGATCTCCTCAACACGTGCTCGGCTAATTCATGCGAGCCGACAATAAGCAGCGTCCGGACGTACGCGCGTTTCGCGCGAGTTGCATGTCCAAAGCCCGCTACCGTGCGAATGCAAACGCATTCGAACAAAATAAGGGAAGAGAAACAAACACGGCGCTATGGACCTCGGACTGTAGCACGGTGGTGGCCGTCGCTAAAAAAAAAAAGAAGAGTTCGCCGCGCTCGGCGGAATGCGTCCCGTGGTGCATTCATATTTTGCCCTTTTTAATCGCGCGCGCTTCAGACGCGGAACGAGGCGAGGCTTTTATTGCAGCATCCACCGACACGATGCGACACGGCCGGCGCGCTCCGCTCCGCTCGGCTCAGCGCGACGCGACGCGACGCGACGCGACGCGTTGCGTCGTGTGTTCTCCATGCCGGTCACGGAGACGCCTCTGAATAGTCACAATTAAAACGAAAGCGAAGACGCAATGCGATGCCGTATGTTGACGTTAGCCAAGTTGCATTTCTCTCTTTCTCTTTAAGTTCTATTTGCCTTTTTTAACCCTCAACGGGGAGAGACCAAGCGAGATGGACGCAATGGTCGTTGATGCACGTGCATCATTTCGCATCGAGAGACGCGATGGGACGCTCAATGACGCATTTTGTAGAGTCGTTCTTTTATTATTGCTCATTTAGCTGCACTATGTCGAGAAAGAAAAGGAAAAAGGAAGCTGAGCCGGTTTATTGTAATTTTCAAGAGAAATATTCAGAATATGAAGCACAGGACTGTAATAATAGAAGCGGATTGACGCGCGGATGGGAAGAGAATTCATAATTCGAAATCTCGAATCTATCACGAGGATTCGCGAGTGACGCACCGCACGCATGGGACAATTGGATTAACACGTGGCTACAGAGCAGCTATAATGCCCATACCTCGTGGATATTGGGTTAATTAGAGAAGCCTGTCCCTGGAGATTCATCATCAGACGACATCACACACAATGAATTATTAGAATCAAGATTCGCGCAATTCGCTGTTGCCTGATCTGTGACTTTCTTACGATCAAACTATTATCAGTTTTCAACTAACGAACTTTCAAATCGTGAACTCGTAGCATTTCATGGATATGAAAATCATTAAATGCGTTCCTTTGAATGCACGATTTTTATTTTTTATTAAAATAATAATATTTTCAAACATTTTTTGAATTTGTAACATTTCATGTGTCATATTCAGCGCAGTTGCTCAATTTTTACAAATGCATTAGCGAAAAGTATACAAAAGATATATATTTATAATTTTTATAATGTTAAAAGAGAGATTTTAACTTTATAATAACATTTTATTTTTAACTGATATAATGTATAAATTAAATTTATTTTATTAAAATGTTTTATTAAATTTATGCAAAGCTAATTATAATCAAGATACGTATTATTATATTTTTAAGTTTTATTGTCTCTATATAATAACCATCTCCGTAATTTCGTATATTAAATTATATCTTTCATTGTATCTTATTAAAATATATTATAAATCTTTATTAATTATTTAAAAATTATCTACGCGATATCATATACAAAAAATATTATAAGAAACAATTATTAACATCTTATAAGGTATGTCTTCTGTTCTTGCATAATATATCGTTTATTACAAGTAATTATTATTATCAAAGGCGTGCCACCGTAGATTGGCTCGTAATTTAAACAAATGCAAAGTGTCATTCGATCGAATGTGCACAAAAAGCTGCCGCTGGGCTAAATTAATAATTACTATTTATGATTATATGAGCGTAATGAATAATTATGGATTATCGACTGAGAATAACAATTTGCGACTCATTGCGCACAAATGAGGTTAATTTCATTGCGGTGGAATGTATCAGCATTTATTTATTCTCTTATATTTCTACAATAAGCAAGAACGCATGTTCTATTGAAACAAAGTACAATTTTTATCTTTATATATTAAGATTATACCTATTAATTATATTAAATATGTTCTATTTTTAATGTATTTTTAATGTATTTTTAATTTTCATCTTTTATTACCTTATTATTTTCTATCTTATCAGAATATTACCTAAATATACTCTATTTTTCTTAGATCGGCAATTTTCCTAAGAAACACAGCTCATCTTGTATGTACGTTCGTTTTATCGTATAACCGCCGTAAATTGTCAATTTTATTTTTGACTGTGCCAGTGGCGTTCCGTTATTGCAACATAAAGTTTGCAGGAGCATAGTATGAAGTTTGTATGGTAGGAAAGGCGGTCAATAAGGAAGATGTCAGTCTTAAATCCGGAGATACCAATGGAAAACGAGAAGTACCAAAGCTTATGCCTCCCCGATTATTGATAGTGTTTTGATTAATGCTACGTATAATTCAAACATTAGCTAAAGAATTATATTGGTCCTAATTACGAGATTACAACTGAAAGTTTTAATAATTAAGACAATGAACCCTCTTTATATTAATTTGTTTGCTTACAATATATAATAATTTCGTTCCGCATAATAATATAATATAAATTTATACTAATAATACACGTGAGAAATGTTTTTCAATAATTAATAGCTTAATATACTTGAAGGTAGGGACAAATTTGTGATACGATATTACAATATGCAAATTATAATACCGTATCAAATAGCACCATTAATGATAACGATATTAGAGCAGCTACTCTACCGAGATGTATAATATCGCCACTATTAATAAGTAATAGTAAAGTCGGCATTATTAATCATAATGATTATGATAGAATACGGGGTACAATGTAATTGTCTTTATTAACAAACAATAGACGATACGTCGATAATAACAATATTAGTATACACAATAAGCATTGAATACAATTGCCTTATTTTTCTACAGCTGTTCTTTTTGCTTACTAAAATCTTTTATTATATATATCTTTTATTATATACATATCTTTTATTATATACATATATAAGATGCGATATGGAAGGATTATGGGAAGTGAAAACGATTTAAGTCGCATTTCGTAAGGTATGATCTATGGAAAAAGAGGGCGGGTTAAGGTGTTGCGATTCTCGTTTGTCGTCCTCCCAAATTAGAGGATAGTCATGTAACGCGACGCCAAGTAGTCTGAAACTGGCTGTTAAACCAATGCAAATTAGCGGAAGACTCGCGTACCTCGGAGTTTGTCCCTTCTAATTACGCGCGGGAACCAGCGAGAAAGGCTTAACTGGGTTCGCTGGGAATTAGTTGTCACCCGGTAGATGCGAACTGCGCGAAGAACAAGAACGCCGTTATACCTGCGCGGTTTTGTGCCGAGCAATAATTGCACGTACAACTGCAGCCCCATGATCGATTTCGGCGATAAGATGCAGACACGGTTATTTATGCCTTACAATGGTCCTGTTAAACTGATTACAAGCGAGAAGCGCATATGTAATTTATTGTTCCATCACTAAATTTCCAACGATTTCTTTTTGTGATATGTCGCGTTATATATGTACTGTATGTACTGTATGTAACTTTGATAATGAAAGTACATACATTTGAGGAAAACTTTACGTTAAATTTAATACATTTCACGTGTCCAAACGGTCTACCCGAATTTGTGTTAATTTAACATAAGATGAATGCGTTGGGAAGTAACATAAATATTATGTAAAAAAATAAGCACAAAAAATGTAACACTGCCATAATTTGTAATTAAATTGTGGAAGCATTTTCTCCAGTAAAATTATTGTAACATTTATAATATATGTAAATTATCATATTTTATTCATTTTTCTTAGAATTTATGTTTTAATATATATTATTTTTAGACAATTTGTCCACTTAGTCATAAATTGTATTATTCTGATATTAAGAAATAATGAATATCAGTAATATAAAATATTCAAATAACACAGTAACATTAATTAAGTTAATTTAATATTCGGATATGTTAAAAATTCACAAAAATTTTAACAAGAACCAGTTATAATATAAATAAAAAATATTTTCATCGTATTTATTTATGCATACTGCATACATATACAGATATATTAGAATGGATCGATTAGTTTCATATATTGAATTTTGAATGCAAACTGTTAAATAATCATTCTAAGTTTTCAAAGGGTATACCTATAAATAATATCCATAATTTGCAATATTCATAATTATTCGATTTCCAATTGCAGTGATAATTGCGAAATAAATTGCGGTTCTTAAATTTCAAACCTTTAAAATGTCTAGGAATT